GAGCCATGACCGGGATACTATTTTTAATTAAGTGATGGAAAAACAGTATAGGCATTCAGAAGGTAGATACTGTGCTACATACTTCAAATACATTATGTCATTTAGTCCCCATGATAACACTGCAAGATCGTATTATCATTTCTATTTTACAGATTAGGAAACTGACTCTTGAAAAACAATTGACTTTCTATGATTCTGGAGCCAGTAAGTGGCAGAGCTAACTTGGAAATCCAAACACATTGGCTAGAAAGACAGTAGCCCTATCCAACACAGATGTGTAGAAATTCACTATTTCAAGAAATATATCAACCAAATCATATGAGTCATCAGGACCAAGTAAGAAAATAGAGTTATTATTATCACTCTGTAATCAGATACAAATTAGAAATAGTGGCATAAGAAAAATTTAGACAGGATTTAGAACCTTCATGATATTTTTCAACCTATACATATCAAACTAGTCCAAGGAAAATTCTATCAGAAAAATTTCAAGGACACCATTAACACCATCTTTCAGGTTATTTCTACCATGCTAAGACATTTTGCTAATTATATGAGTTACTTTTAAAGGCTTAATAAATAAAATAATAATAAATAATATAAATAATAAATAAAAATATAAATAATAAATAAAATAAAATAATAAAGATTATTGGTTTTTTTGAGGGGGGGAACTGTTCTTCCTTCAAAAACACTGCTCTGAAGGGAACTGTCAATCCTGGTAACGCTCTGCTCTCACTTTAGGATCAGGTTTGTGAACTGCTAAGCTAACCACAGTACCACCAGGGCTGATTCAGAGATAGACACAATTCATTTGGAGTTCCTCCCTGGCACTTTTGCAGATGGATATGGAAACTGCTCTCTTCTCCTGGGTTATGAGAATATAAGCCATGGCAGTGGCTGACAGCTAACGAACAGCCTAGGTTGCAAGTTAAAGCTAAGCTCCAGAGGAGTGGTAGGTTGGGAAGAAAGGGTGAGAGAAAGAAGAGGAAAAAGAAGGAGAAAGAATAGAGACAGGACATTTAAAAAGACACATGGATCACGGAAGAGACAGGTACAGACACACGCGGCTGACTGACCCCACTCACCGCAGGCAGAATTCTGCATTCAGGCCTCCCACAGGCAAGTTCCACTCTTGTCCTTCCGAGGTGTGACTGTCTAAACAAATAAAATCTCTCTCTGTCTCTGTCCCTCTCTCTTTTGGCTTTGAGGTATTCAGAACAGGGATTTTATTATCTACAATGATCAACTCAAGTTATGCAAGAAAACATGTTTCATTACTTTACTAGGCTAAGTTCTTATTTCCATGTCTGCGCAATGTTAATGATGCCACAAGTCAAGTCAGCAAATACTTATGGAGACACAAAGAGGGGAAAGGCGGTGTGGCCCATGACAAGTGAGGGCTGTACCAGATATGAGGACACTCATCCCACTGAGAAAGACCCACACTGAGTGGTTCTTAATTAAAAATAAAAAAGACCAGCATGCAAATATCTAAAATTAATGGTATAAAATCGACATATTGTTAGGCAGTATAAGATTAGCCACTGAAGAAAACAGGCTAATAGTAAATAGTATAGGAGTACAGAGGTGAGAAATAGGTTGGAGAACAGCATCCCATTTTAAGTATTTGTAATTCCACTTGAGGTCCTACTCGCACTGACAGTAACTGTACAAGAAGTTTCACACTCTTAAATGACCCCACTGGCATTTCCTATCCATGTCCCGGGGCATTCAAAACATTTCTGAAATAGTTTTCCATTTAACTATAGAAAATATAATATAAAGTTTACACCAGGCCAGGTGTGGTGGCTCACGCCTGTAATCCCAGCACTTTGGGAGGCCGAGGTGGGCAGATCACAAGGTCAAGAGATGGAGACCATCCTGGCCAACATGGTGAAACCCCGTCTCTACTAAAAATACAAAAATTAGTTGGGCATGGTGGTGCATGCCTGTAGTCTCAGCTACTCAGGAGGCTGAGGCAGGAGAATCCCTTGAACCTGGGAGGCAGAGGGTGTGGTGAGCCGAGATCACGCCACTGCACTCCACTGTGGTGACAGAGCAAGACTCCATCTCAAAAAAAAGTTTACACCAAAGCAGGGCACAGGTGTGCATTTGGGCAGTCAGATGGGGAGCCACCCTTAGAAGGGCTCTGTGCTTGCTTTAAGGCTTTGCTGTCTTGAAATTATTAATTTTTATACAAGAAATTCTGCATTTTCATTTTTCACTGTTTCCTAAAAATTACATAGCTGGTCCCTCACTAAGGAAAGGAACAGGGCTGTTGTGCAAACAACTCCAGCCAATGGTTTTCCTTTTCAAGCAACCTGCTTATCATTTGCCAAGAGGGTAATAGATTTTGGAAGTGAAAAGGCAAAGCAGCGCTCTCACCTGCCACGTGTTCTTCCTTAGCCCTTTATTAAAAGCAAATGATTTAGAAAACGAAGTCTGCAGTCAAGAGCACTTGTAAACTGCCAGTTCACAACACGGCTCACATGAATGTCAGGTCACCAAGCGTGAACCCAAAGCCCATCACATAGTTCTAGGACATGACAAGCACAGGATAAAGAATTTAAAAAATGGATCTGGCTGAGCTTATGAGATACTTACAGAGTGAAGCAAAGCTCATTCTGGGCATGTCAGCTGCACACAATGCCACCAAACAGTGGGTTGTTGTTGAAAATGTCATCTAGAAACAGTTCTATCTCATGGAGCGTGTGTTAGATGGGACTCTGAGGATGCTGTCATGGGGCATGTATTAGACGGGGCTGTGAGGATGCTTAGGGAGCAAAGCATCTGAATGAGTCCATCTCAACATTTTCTCTAAGTAAGCATCTCACCAGCTTATATTCTGGTCTATGCTAGCAGAAGAAAGCGAAGAGGGTGTCCAGCATCCTTGACCTAGGACCTCCACGACAGGATCAAGCCATTCTCCAACTGCGATGCACTTGCTTACATGATGTGCATTGGACCAGCTACTCCAAAGCGACAACGTCATCAGTCCTGTCTTGTTGATGTCTAAAATCACACTGTCTACACTCCCATTGAGGACTCTCATCCTAGATATGATGAAAATCATCGTGCAAGGGGAAACACGACTCTTTTCATTTTGAACCTTAGTGTAAATAAGTTTCAAACCCTTTTCTAGGGGACCAGGTTTAGATTAGAGGTAAAAGGAGGAAGGTAGGGACTTAGGGAAGGGCAGGAAGGGAAGTTCTGTGTGATGTGCTAAGGTTTAAGAAAAACCTTCCACTTTACAATTTTCCGAACTGTGCAAGCCTCTTTTGGTAAATATCACTTAATATATGACTTAGTCTGAAGGAAAAGAAGAGTGATTCAAATACACTTACTTTTAAGCAATTATCTCTTCTACCCCACCTGCACAGAAATTTCACTAAAAGCTCTCATCTTTTATGTTAACACCTACTGATGCATTTGGAAGTAGAATAAGCTCATTATCTTTAAAGTGCAAGTTTAAAGTGTTTTCCTTCTGTTCAAGCCATTTTCTTTTTCCACCTACTATTCACTGAGGATAGTTTCTTCTATGACAGACCTATGGATCTAAATAATTAATTATAGGAGTAAGTGCAAGTCTGGCATAGTTTACAGGCTCAATAAATGTTATCAATTAATTCATCTAATTTAAGGAGGTATCAAAATTGAATTACAACTGAAAGCAAGGTGAGCAACCATGATATCGTGTGTGAGCAGACCAAAGTGAAGACCATAAGCAGAAAACAGCAGAATTTTGTGAACAAAATTTCTCAGGATGTAAGTTTTCTTTTCTTTTCTCTTTTCTTTTCCTTTCTCTTCTCTTTTCTTTTCTGACAAAGTCTTGCTCAGGATGTAAGTCTCCCCTCCCCTCCCCTTGCCTCCTCTTCTCTCCTCTCTTCTCCTCTCCTCTTCTTCTCCCCTCTCCCCTCTCCCCTCTCCTCTTCTGACAGAGTCTTGCTCTGTCACCCAGGCTGGAGTGCAGTGGCACAATCTCAGCTCACTGCAACCGCCGCCTCCTGGGTTCAAGCGATTCTCCTGCCTCAGCCTCCTGAGTAGCTGGGATTACAGGTGCCCGCCAAAACGCCCAGCTAATTTTTGTACTTTTAGTAGAGATAGGGTGCTTTCACCAAGTTTGCCAGGCTGCTATCGAACTCCTGACCTCAACTGATCTGCCTGCCTTGGCCTCTCAAAGTGTTGGGATTACAGGCATGAGCCACCGCTCCCGGCCCACAGGATGTAAGTTTTCTAAAGATCTAAACCAAAGTTACTGTTAGTGATGTTAGGAAGCATATGAATTGGTTTGGCATTATGGCTTGCTTTATAGTATAGCTTCTGTTTCTCTTTGTTTTCCCACTAGACGCAGCAACTTGGGGATGCCGCCCTGAGAGGGCTAGCATTCTTCATGACTTAATATGTAATACGCCTCTATGGAATTTCATAATCATGGAGACTTTATTGCATATACTGAAGAGAGGACAGTCCCCTTCCTGAAAAGATTTATTTTAGAAAGTGTCACACAATTCTACAAGAATCTTGAAAGGTCTTTGAAAAAATATTGACATCTGTGTTTCTTGGTGATATCTGGATGAAATTTGGATATGAGTGGTAAAATGACAATATCCCATGAATTGAGCAAACTATTCCTTTTACCCTTACAGCCTTTGCTATCTGTTCTTTGAAGTGAGTGTGTCTGCCATTGCAGCAGGGTTGTTCAAGCCTTCTTACGTGGTCACTTTGACATGATTTCCTCCTGACAGAAGTTGTGTCACCTGACAGTGGTCCTGGCAAACCAGCACCCCAGCTTCTCTCTGTAGCATCCCAGCTTCTGTGCTGACTCTTCTTATTAAAACTCCACATTTTGCCAAAGGTCAGCATCCTCTTCAACTTGCTACCCCAGGTTGAGGGCCATCTAATTTTTTATTCAGGCTATGAAAATTGGCAACCCCCGTGGTGCCACACCTAATAAAACACCAGTTTTAAAATGCCATTGTGCAAATGAAAATACCTACCTCTCTTGTAGAAGAAGTTTGTTCTCTTTCTTCCAGAAGTCTTTAAAGTCAGAGCTGAATTCATGCCAGATACTGAAGAAAGCATTTGGAGACACCTCCTTCTCTCCAAGTTTTGGTTTCATGAAGAAATATGCCGTAGTCTCCAAAAAGCTGTCAAAGCATACACACGCAAGAGCATAAAAACCATGATTACTTTCCAATATGGGATAGCCTTTCTCTATCCAAATGCTGATTTTATTCATGCACAATTATTATTACCAAGAGGACTCAAACTCTTCAAGCACCAACATTGGCTCTCTTATGGTTTAATGTTAAGAGTTTTGGATACAGATAGTAGCAGCTGACAAGAATCCTCCAGGTACTAATAACTACCCCTTGACCAATTCTATTTCAAAATTAATCACTCTGTGTTGGACATACTCCAGAAATGAACTTGTCATCAAGATGAGACATATTGAAAGTGGTGGGCCTATACTTTCTTTCTAAACTCTAAACAAATGAAATATCAACCATGTGTCCCCAAACTAATATGTAGTCCATATTTATATTATATTGCTTATATACTATTTGCCTTCCTACATGGTTAGAGGGAATAAAAGCAAGAGTCCCAGGAGATGCTGACAAAGTCTCCCGTCAGAGACCACGGTGCTATCATTGAGTAGAGACCAATATGGCAGCCAGCACTGTGACAGTAGATTGCTCAGGACCAGTTTTCAGAAGGCGCCACTCAGAGGCTGCTTAATATTACAGCTATATGGAGCTCAGAAGAGTTTCAAAGTGGTTATTTGACAAAGAACATACCACTAGTAAATGGTAGGTTTCTGACTTAACAAAAGTCTTCTGGTGCCATGAGTGATGCCCTGAGAAGAATCCTGACCAATACAGTCAATAACGCTGAGGCAAGAGGACTGGTTAGAGAAAGGTCAGAGATGCTGCAAAGGGGTGGCATGCAAAGAAGCTTGTCTTTATTTTTTCTTTCTTTGGCCTGGGGCCAGCACTATTTCTGCTCCACCAAAACTCAAGTTTGATCTACTCTGAAGTAGAAATATCAAAGGCAACTTGATTTTGCTCAGTGACAAAAAGTATGTATATATACATATATATACATACATACCCTAACATATACACTTACACATATCTCTGTGTGTATTCAGCTTGCCATAGCTGATTTCAAATGTCTATTATGAAAAACAGTATGAGCATTAAAATACTGAGTGTTTTTTTTTTTTTTGAGACGGAGTCTTACACTGTCACTCGGGCTAGGGTGCAATGGTGCAGTCTCTGCTTACTGCAACCTCCACCTCCCGGGTTCAAGTGATTCTCCTGCCTCAGCCTCCCGAGTAGCTGGGATTACAGGTGCCCGCCACCACGCCTGGCTAATTTTTTAAAATACTGAGATTTTTAAGGTGAGTTTGCTCAGAAGGTAAAAGAGTTAGAGCATCACACATAAAAACAAACATTCACAGCTATGGCTAATCTGCTGTTTTTAAGCTTGCCTATGGCTGTCTCCGAGCAGCAAGATTCCCAGGATATCAGCTTTTGAAGTTGTAGGCAGAGATGACAAGACGGATTTGATCAAATGTGTGGATCTCAGGTATTATATTTTTCTCCTTAGTTAGCCTACTAGAAAAATGACACAGTATGGTCAATTAAACCTGAGAAAGAGTCAGGCTGTGAAGTGGATATGCAACGTGAGAATCTGGCTGCCACGAGTTATGGTAGTGACATTAGAATGCATCTGGCGGAATGTGCTGACGGCGTCAGAACTGCCCAGAGAGTAGATGGCAGAGAACACAATAAGACATATCTGGGTCATATTTTATTACAATTGATAACAGAAACACATATATGCCTTCTGGGAAAACTGGTCATTTTCCTTATATACCTAAAAAGAATGTACGACCTGTTAGGCTGAAGTTAGGTCTCAAGTCTTTTCTATCCGTTTATTCATGCTCCTCATTGCTCTGGTCTTTGAACTTCATAAAACTTATTACAGAGCAAGTCCATCTGTTTGGGTAGCCATATGTAAGTTGCAAGAGCTAGTTCATCCAGTCAGCTATCTTGCAACATTTTGAAAGTTTTATCACTAGGTCGCATGGTATCAAAAGCAAAGAATGTAAGATTTAGAATGAGATGACAAGGAATATTGAATCCTGCCTCTATGACCAGCTATATGAGCAAACCGTTTAACATCATTGTGCCTCAGTTTTTCCACTGTAAAACAGAGATTATCATAAACAGTTGTTTTGAAGTCCAATGGGTAAAAATGAATTGCCAAAGTGTTTGTTGAATGCATCAACACAAAACAAATGTATTTTATATTACATGTTATATTACATATGCTATATATTTTATATTGCCTATTAAATAAATATAAATATATATTTCCTAAAAATATTCTCTAAATTATAACTAACTCAACTGGGGCTGATTTATGAACAGATTCTCAGGTGATGATGTTCTCTGAAGAATTTTTTTTTTTAGTTACCAGCAGGCATAAAAGCTTCCGATACTAGTGATAATCATTCTAATTATTCAATAATTTCTTCTTGGCTTTGTTATACAAAGCACATAGATTTAGGCAGGTAATTTAACTTCTGAGCCTCAGTTTTTTTTCATCTGTAAGTAGAAAAAATACCTGCTTTTCAAGGTTGTCATGAAGATTAAATAAAAGTACCTTGCAAGTTATAAACTGAAGTAGTAACATATGTATTCACCTTAGAAGAGGCAAAAATTTTTCAATAAAAAATTGTTCTTTGTGTAAAACTTTATGAACATGTTAGCCAAATGAGTATCCAACAATTGATTTAAAGTCAAATGTGAACCTGATTACTAGCATGAGTCACAATAAACAGAAACTTTTGTCAGTAGCTATTTCTTCGGATGTGGCCATGGTGAAAGAATAAGTGTACCTGAGTATGTGTAGAGTGTCCAGAAGAATTATCTGAGGATCATGAGTGCTGTCTCAACTGTACACTGCCACCCTACTCCCTGAAATAAAGTATAAATACTTAAAAAAAAAAAAACAAGCAGCCTGTAATCCCAGCACTTTGGGAGGCCGAGGCGAGTGGATCATGAGGTCAGGAGATCGAGACCATCCTGGCTAACACTGTGAAACCCCGTCTCTACTTAAAAAAAAAAAAAAAAAAAAATAGCCGGGCTTGGTGGCAGGCACCTGTAGTCCCAGCTACTCGGGAGGCTGCGGCAGGAGAATGGCGTGAACCCGGGAGGCGGAGCTTGCAGTGAGCCGAGATGGCGCCACTGCACTCCAGCCTGGGTGACAGAGCGAGATTCCATCTCCAAAAAAAAAAAAGAAAGAAAGAAAAAACAAACAAACAAACAAACAAATAAGCAAATAACAGGACAATAATTTCTACAGATTATCAAGGTATCTTTTATGCCAGAGGCATTTTTGGTTATATAATCCTGTCCAGCATTAGGTAGCCCTCAGCAAATTCAAACTTGCATAACACCAAAGAGACCCATTTGGGTGGTGTGTGGGAAGGGTAAACTCCATCTTTTCTGAATTATTTCCTTCTTTTAAATCTGAAACCAGGAGGATCCCAGCCACCATACAGCAATACGGGATTCACTACAAAAAGACAGACATCTTACCTAGGACCCTCCTTAGTACACAGGCTTTTCTGTGAGACTCCCTCAAAATGACCCTGGCACATGAAGAGGTAGTAGTTAAAAGATGTGCAGTTATAAAAAAAAATGCAGTGATTATAATAACAGATAACTCCGGATGTCACTGAAAAATCAACATCCCTCTGTTCTGGATTCTTAAATGGTCCTTTTTCAAAAAGATCAACACCACACGTCTTTTGCTACAAACATCAGACAGTACAAATATACTTCTCGGCAATGGAATCAAGGTACCTGCAGATCTCTAAAATGACAGCTACAGAAGCAGAATCATGTTGGAATTTCTCTGAATCCCACACAAAAATGGAAAGAGCAACTAATATTAAAAATCAGAGCTAACAGGAAGATATCTACAAAGACCTAGGTATCTAATGTCCCCAACAAAACTCAAAATTGGCCAGGCGTGATGGCTCAAGCCTGTAATCCCAGCACTTTGGGAGGCCGAGACGGGCGGATCACAGGTCAGGAGATGGAGACCATCCTGGCTAACACAGTGAAACCCCGTCTCTACTAAAAAATACAAAAAACTAGCCAGGCGTGGTGGCGGGCGCCTGTAGTCCCAGCTACTCGGGAGGCTGAGGCAGGAGAATGGCGTAAACCCGGGAGGCGGAGCTTGCAGTGAGCGGAGATCGCGCCACTGCACTCCAGCCTGGGCCACAGAGCGAGACTCCGTCTCAAAACAAAAACAAAAACAAAAAAACTCAAAATTACAGCTAAGGACAAACTACTCACGACATAACACCCACATGGTAACATCTGTAGAGGAGGAAGCAGAGGGAAGCAACAGGAAATCTCTCCTAAAAGCAGGAAGAACCCTCAAATTACAAAAAGGTAATCCTGAAAAGAGTCAGGGCTAACTTGAGAACTGTGCTGAAACAGGAAGAAGTTTCACACAATTGAGTGCATGGAACAAAAGACAGGATGTATAGTAACTTCTGAAAGGACTGGAAGCAGTCTGGGCTGTATGAACTCTTAGTATTGACCCAAGAGAAACTCTCTTTTAGGGCTAAGCTCTGCGTTGAGAGAAAATGCTGAGAGTGGAATTCAAATTGTGCAGAAAAAACTCTAGAACAAAGAGAATAGAAAATGCAGGTAAAATGCACTTTTTAATGTGCAAAAGCAACAAAAGAGGAAACTCTAGAGCACGAAAGTTAGAAATGTTTTCCTCGCGCATCTATTCCTCCTAACACTTCAGTAAAATTAATTTCAAATAAAAATGAGAAAGATGAAAATACTGCAGTGGAAAAAGCTACGTAAACACACTAACCATAGCAAAGTTGGCCTGGTTTTATTATCCAAGTAGACTTTCAAGACAAAGAACATAACCAGGGTGTTATTTCATAATTATAAAAGCATCCACATTATCAAGAAGATATAACAATCCTAAAGATATGCATCTAATGAAATAGTTTCAAAATTCATGAGGCAAAAATTGCAGGACTAAAAGGAAAAAGAGACAAACTCATAATCAAATTGGATATCTTAACACCTCTTTCTCAGGA